AGCTGCAAAAATAAGTAAAAGAGACATAAACAAAAAAGCCCATGCTAATATAAAAAGCCATACCAATGAAAAAAATGCTTAAAGTACAGATAAATGCAAATATAAGAAAAGAGGTTCACCCTTACTAGCAATTAAATACGAACTAAAAGAGCCATCAGTTAAGAAATGATAGTGGGGTATGATGGTGCATGCTTTTAATCTCAGTACTCTGGGAAGCTGAGGCAGGAGGATCATAAGTTGGAGGCCAGTCTGGGCAACTTACTGAGATCCTGCCTCAAAATAAAAAGAAAAAAGGCTGGGTATATAGCTCAATGGTAGAGTGCTTGCTTAGCATGTGCAATGGGGGATCCCATTCATAATACCTACCCCCTTAAGGCTATACTTTCAGGGATCATTTCTACAGTTCTATAATACCCACCCCAAATACACACACACACACACACACACACACACACACACACGCACGCACGCACACCGTTGCCTATTTTATAAATATGGGAAAATAAAGTTGATGTCAATAAAAAATGTAATACACAAAACTATACACGCAGTGGTCTTTTAACTCTGCTTTCTTAAACAGGTAGAAAAGAGGCTGGAAAAAATGTACCTGCTGTAAATCAGAGCTATCTCTGGATGGAAGCTGATGGAGGCTTCCTCAGACTTTATAAAATATCAACCAAATTCACTTAAATAGATTTATATACTTTAAGGAACAAAATCCACAAATATCTCAATAGTTGTCCACACTCATAGAAGTACAAACACGTCACCTGTGTAAGGCTCTGTGTGCTAGAGTCCCGCTGTCTTTAGCCATGTGCGCTTCTCTCCTTAAATCTTGCCAAAGTGGACTCCTCTTGCTTCCTAAACATAGCTTTGCACCTTCGTGCCTTGACTCGGACTATCTGAATCACCTGAATCACCTTCTCTACATAGCCATGGTTTCAAATTGGGGAGAAACACCACTTGGTAGCTTTCTGTCACTATAACAAATATAGGAGCTGAGATAATCAGAGAAAAGGGCTACTGTGGCTCTCAGTTTTGGAGCCGAGTACAGTCCATAATTGGTTCACCTGATTAGTTCTTGGCCTGAGGCGAGGCAGCACCTCATGGTGAGACCTTGCGGTGGAGCAAAACTGTTCATTTCATGGCCAGGGAGCAATAGAGAGGAAAGGGAAAGGACTAGAGTCCCAAAGTCCCTCTCAAGGGAACGTCCCCCAGTGACCAAAGACCTCCTACTGGGCCCTACCTCCTAAAGAGTCCATTACCTCCCAAGAGCAGCACCCCACGGGTGAAGTTTTTAACTACACAAACCTTTGGGGGACACTAAAGATCCAAACCATTGTGAGGCATGGTAGCCCATGCCTGTAATCCCAGCACTGTGGGAAGCTGAGGCAGGAAGATCACAAGTTCGAGCTCAGCCTGGGCAGCCTAGTGAGACTGTCTCACAATGAAAAATGAAAAGGCCTGAGGATGTAGCTCATTGCAAAGGTACTGAGTCCAGCCCCCCAGTACTACAAAAAGCACAAAGAAAAGGATCCAAACTATAGTACCACCTTTTCTTTGAAGTTCCTTCTCTGTGCTAAGGCAACTACCAACCAGCAGTCACCTTTGTCTTTGAACCTTAAGAAAACATTTTAGCACTCTTACTACTCCATACAATTTGCTTCAAGCTTGACAGGTATCTGTTTTAATACCTATACTGGATTGTAGTAGTTTGGGAAGGGGCTCTGTCCTTCAGCCCTTTCTCTAATACTGACACTGCTTCCCAGAATTAAGCATATAATGAACGCTTGAGGAACTGAATAAATTATTGCCAGAAGAGATTAGTCTTCTTGTCTTTGGCACTAGTAGGGAGAGGAACAGGAAATGTTTCTCATTTTAGACTCAGCATGGAATTTCTCACAGTTACAATGAGGAAAAAAAGCAGTAATTATGGACCTCTATTTTATTTTATTTTATTTTATCAGTTAAAAAATCTATTCATAAACGGTAACTTTTATGGACACAAAAATGTTCTTGGAATTCCCAAGAATCTACCTCTAAAGGAATTTTGGGATCTAGTTAGTGCTTGAAGTGACATAGCTGCAGATGATAAGTTGTTTTTGTTTGTTGTGCAGTACTGGGGATCATGCAAGGCAAGCTCTTTACCACTGAGCTACACCCTCAGCATGATGTTAAATATTTTTGTTTAGAAAAAAAATTTAAGTCTGCTTTAATCCTCTTATGAAGCAAAATACTGTTAATGACTACAGAAACAGTGAAAGAGGAAGAAAAAAGTGGATGTTCTAAAAAGCAACCTTAAAAAGGAGAACACATGAAAATTAAAAAACCTTTTTTCCATTTTCCAACTCTGACTTTTTCAGATGTTGTATTTTAGGAAACAACTGAAACTTTAAGGTAAGGCTATCTTTAATGATTTTTATTTTCCTTTCCCATGGAAGTCTCTAATATTTGAAATTGCTAGCAGATAACCCAAATACATGGGTTTACACATACCTGAGTGTATATTTTAGGACAAAATTCTCTCTATACAAAATGCCATTCAGTGTTTTACTTTGAAATAATGCTTGTCTTTACGAAACATATTGTGAGGGCTGTTCTTTGCCAGATTTTGATGAGAAAAGGGAGCCAGTTAGGACAGTTCTTAATTCAGAATTGGTCTAATCTTCCAATACGCATATTTAATCACTGCTATAGTCATTCAATGAATATGCACTGCAAACTGTGCTAGGTATTCAGAGGTAAGATTCACAAGGCCTTTGACCTCAATTTCTACAAGCTGCTCTAGAACCCAAACATAAACTCCTGGAAGAAACAAAGAACAAATGAACGAGACAATTGCAGATTATGATAACAGCTGCCAAGGAGATAAAATAAATTGGATAGGGAAGCTATTTAATAATCAGTGAAGACCTCTCAGATACACTTAAACCTTGAAATGAAAAAAATAAAAAGAACTCAGCCATGCACACTAACGGGAGAAGAACCTTCCAGGCAGAGTGAAAAAATGGAAAGTTCCCGAGATGGAAACCGACTCATTCTGTTTGAAGAACACAAATGAAATAGTGTAGTCAAATTTTTCAAACCGTGAATCATGTTCTAGATTGCGAAGTCAATTTTGTGGGTCATTGCATTTTTAAAAAGTCAAATAGAAGAAACACCAGAGTCACATGTTTTCAGAATAAGAATTCTTCTTTGGGGAGGGGGTGGTGCTGGGGATTGAACCCAGGACCTTACCACTGAGCTACATCCCCAGCCCATTTTTATTTTGAGAAGGGTCTCAAAAAGTCACTAAGTTGCCCAGGCTGTGATGGAACTTGTGATGCTCCCACCTCAGCCTCCCATAGTGCTGGGATTATAGGTGGGCACCACTATGCCTGACTATAAGCATATCTAACTCGCGCTTTAATTACGTGAATGTGTGCATGTGTGTACTGACTGGGTTGCACTGTGTGTTTCTAAATGCTAGAAGGAGTTAAATCTGTACTATGCAAGAAGAATGGTAACAGGTGAGGCTGGAGTGGTATGCAAGATCCAAATCACGTGTGGCCTTGGATTATAGACCATCGCGAAAAACAGATTTTATTCCAAATGGAGTGGGTAGACAACTGAAGGGTTGCAGGCTGGAGAGTAACACAATCTAATTTGACATCACGGTAGTGCTGAAAAATCACTCTAGTGAAATTCAGAAGGCCTGAGCACTAGGCCTGGTTAAGCCATTAACACCAGGGATTTTAAGCAAAACACTTACTTTCCCCATACCACACTTTTCTCATTTTAAAAATGAGAGGGCTGAACCAAGATGACTTTTAAGACCTTATCTATTGCTATATTTCTGCTTCCTCCTTTGGGCATAAAGTAAATGACAGTTGTCATGTCACTGGTTCATTAGGTTTAGTTTTGAGTTACTTGTAAAATACTAAAAACCATGCAGCTATGAGCTACATTTCTACAGAAAGTGTTTGGATTTCTCTTTTTACTGGTACCAGATATGTTATTAGAAATGAGATCTCTGGGCTAAAATTGAATCAAGTGCTTTTGCAACTCTCTGGTACAGTCTGGAGTGTGAAGAAAACTGGCAAGGAGGCATGAAAAGATTTACTGACCAGGTTATTTGTAACAGATTTCCTTATTTGTTCTAGGTCATCAAGTGATGCATAATCTAGGATGGTTTAAAATTGCAGGAAACTTTAGCTGAGCACTTAAGTTAAGATATGGAAGCTCAACTCCTCTCACAGTAACCAAAATGACTACTGACGAAAAGCATTCATTCAAAACCTACTATATTTTAAGCCTGTGGTTGGTAGTTTGACACACACTTTTTCAGTAAATCTTCCTAACCTTATCTGCATTTCAGAGGTATGGAAATGGGCTCAGAATAGACAAGCTATTTAGTGACAAAGTCAGGATTAGAATCAGTCTTGAGGTAGTCAACATATAGACCCTTCTTCAATTCTGTATTTATAATAACTTACCCTGCATGTTTTTACAAATTACTGTGCAAGTATTAAATCATCAGGTAAGTACATGACCACTGAAGGACCTGAGTCATCTGGTATGTTCAACTAGTAGGTCAATTCGAGGCTCACAGCTACTTTGCTAGGTATGTGTGAGATGAGAATTATAGAATTTGTTCTAGTATGGAAGAGCCTGCACTGTGGGTAGTATGCTGGCCTGTAAGAAGTAGAATTTGGCAAAATATCAGAGAGTGGCATACTCTATTAAGTACATGTCAATAGTATTACGGCAACAAGTGCCTTGCAAGTTCCATAAACTCGAGATGCTAGAAAGCCACCGATTTCCAACTTACGTTAACCCTTTAAAAGAAGCTTTGGACGCACCACCTGCCCACTTGGAAAGGCAGATACAGCTTGCTGTGGAGAGCAAAACCTTTGATATGCGTTGAGCATCACTACTGGAGCGAGACACTGATAAACACCCTCGTAAAGTTGAGGACGCACATTGAACATTTTTCTCAACCTCGAGAACGCGGTGCTCACCTGACACAAACTCAGCTTCGAACCTCCGCCGGGTCTCACTGATGAGCTTGGCTTTATTCTGAGCGGGATTCTGGATGGGAGACACCACAGGACCTTAGATACTTCTTGCACCATCCCGGTTACCCTCAGCCCAGCCCACTTGTGCCCGGGAACGCTGACCCCGGTCCTGGGAGGAGGCCTCCGAGACCAAGACCAAAGGGCCAGCGGTGGTGCAGTCAGCTCCTCACCTCGGCCATGACCGCGATCTTGGACGTGATTACGGTAGGTGTAGCCCTCACCCCTTCCACTCGCCGCCAGAGTATCTCATCACCCGCCAGTCCCGCCCAGAGGTAGACAGAGAAGGGTGAGGGAGGGGCGGTGTCGCGTGACACCAGAAGGCAGACGGAAGTACCGCCGCACCGCTCAATCCGATGCGGCCGCCTGGGCGTGGAGGCGGGACTAAGCCCTCGGGCTCGGTCCCGTTGGTTTCTCGTTTGGGCCCCTTCTCCTGACGGCGATGCACTGTGGTCCCGCCCTCGCTAGCCGCGCTGGCGCCGGCGCTTCCCCTTTGAGTTCCGCCCTAGGATTCAGGGTCTGCCTTTAGTTTTTTGCAATAATCCCTGGAGGTCCCGCCTCCTCAGCCTCCCTGGGCAATCGTCTCCAAGCAGCCGCGGCAGGCTCCACCTCCTCTGCCCTCACGCAGTCTCAGGGCGGGGCCTCCCAGAATGCAGCGCGCTGGCGGGAGCTTTGGAGTGGCTGGATGCGGTCTCTGCAGAGGGCTTCGGCAGTGTGGAGGCTTTGCTGAGGTAAGGCAGCGTTGGCACGGAGGGCCTATCGGACAGGACTTCACCCCATGTTCCTGCTTTGCGAGAGAGCGGGAAGGATGCAGGCATCTAGGGGCCGGGGTCTGTCATTCTGTAGATTTTAACTGCTTGCTATATTCTGGGATTATTGTTATTATTATTTTATTCATCAAGTTTATCGGTACGTTTTAGGTATACAATACGGTGACGTTCATCATTGGGAATTTGTGGAATGGGGAAAAAATTAGGACCCAAATATATTCTGGGATTATTGCTCTTGAAATTTTCTTCACCTCAACGTCCTTCACATTTGGAGTGTGAGATGCTAGAAGGGAAGATATCTTTGAAGTAGTTAAGCCCTAACGGTTACATAAAGTTGAAATAAAAACTGCAAAACGTCTTTAATTAGGATGGTCGCTCTCAGTGGGGGGGGTGCTGTCTGTTCTGCCAATCAGGGGACTTTTGGCAATTTCTGCGGGCCTTTGTAGTTGACACAACTCAGGGAAATGGGTGTTACTGCTTTCTAGTGGTTAGGAGGCAGGAACGCAGCCAGACACCCTGCCACGCACAGAACAACCCACCGTGGTTATCCAGTGCACAGTGTCAGGGCTAGTGCCACGGTTGAGAAAGTACTGGAACAATTTTAGGTCTGTTGGTTTAAAAATAATAATTGAAAGGAAATCGTTATGCATACAGTATTGCCTTCCTTAAAAGTTGAAAGATACTCTAAAGTACAAAGAAATTTTAGGAAGAGGCCTCCATGTGTCCATCATCTATAGTTTTGTATGGGAAAATAACTGAACATGTGCTCACATCATTATTACATTGTTTAAAAATTGTTTGAATACATCTTTTAAAAGTATTTCAACTATAACTAATCTCCCTAATCTGACTCCACTCCCCTGCCCTGATATTCATTCCCTTGTTCAGGATCAACAGTCATTCAGAATTTTGCATAAAATATTTAGTCCATCCTTCCTTCCACTTCCAGATTTCCTGGATTTGAATTTTAGCTCTGGCACTTAATATGTAGACCTCTGAGAAAATCCTGAAATTCCCTGCCTCAGGGTCCCCATCTTACAATAGGGCAGTAATAGTGTCTATGGCATAAGAATATTTTCATTCATTTTATTTTCAAAATCTAGCTATGATGATATACTGTACATGGATCTAATATATTCCTTGAAACTATTGTGACATTCCGTCTATATTTATTCATTCTCCTGTTGGTGATCATTGAAGTTTTTACGTTTTTTATATCCACTGTTTGCAGTAGTGTAGGGAACATTCTAGAATAATGTCCTTGTGCATATGTGGAATGAATTCCCTGGATTATGTCTCACAATGAAATTGCTGGATATATGCATTTTGATTTAACTACCAAATTGCCTTACAAAGTCATCATCAGTCCTATTAAGCGCTCATAATTGTCTCCTAAATGTTAGCTTTGTTTCTACTTTCATCTCATTCACATGTTCAACACTGTCACCAGACTCTTCTTAGGGTGGCAGTACAATTTTGTGATTTCTGTTTTTGTAATCTTTCCATGAATTATCATTGCTTATAGGAGAAAGTTAGAAGTCCTTCCTAAGGCATAGAAAACCTCCTTAATTCTCTAATTTAGTGGATCATCATCCCCCCTCACTCACTGACATTTCAGGTGTATGTAGATCATAGTTGGAAGGAAAAAGGGGAGATCAGTTGTAGGTAGGCTCTCAAGAAATATCTTTCCCTTGTGAAGGGAGAAAATAGTTTTATAACAGTGGACTTATTTTGTAGTCAAGTTAATTTACTTGGGTTAACAATGTCATACATGTTGGAAAAAGGAAATCTCTCAGCATTACATTTATATGATTGTTTTCAGTGTTGTGTACAATTTTTAGTTGGACATCTTAGTTTTCCTTTTTTGCCAAGGATACTTTCTCCTGGTCACAATGTGGTTTCTTATAGATACTTTTGTATTTTATATGCAGATATAATGCTCTTCTAGGATCTTCTGAAAGACCCTGGACCAGTCAATGTTAACGTTCGATTTGACTGGATTAAGATAGTCCTGGAGTCTGATGTTCATAGTGGAACGTACTCTTAAGAGGTGGGGCTCAGTTGGAGGAGGTGGGTCACTGGGGCCTTGCCTTTGGAGGGTATATTTCTTGCTGGTGCTCTTTCCCTGTGCTGTGCTTCCCAGCTACCTTGAAGTAAGCAGATTTCCTCCACCGTCACCTTCTGCCATGATGTTTCTGCCTTGGAGCCAGTTGGCTGTGGATTGAAACCTGTGAGACTATGAGCCAAAATAAACCTGTCCTCTTTTAAGTTGCAGGTATCAGGTATTTTGTCCCAGCAATGTGAAAGCTGACCAATACACACAATGTTGGTTTGTTCAAAGAGTTCTAAAATTAATAGTGCCAAAATGGATTTATAAGCATTTGAAGGGAACACCATGTTTATTGAGGGGGAAGATAGGTAGAAAAGAGTGGATGAGTGTAATAATTTATTGCCAACCTACTATATTTATTCTAGCATAGGTTACAGTCATTCTTCAGTATTTTTGGGGGGTTAGTTCCAGGATCAGCCACAGGTACCAAAAGCTATGAATGTTTGAGGCCTTTATATAAATTGGCATAATAGCTAACAGTATGCCATTTTATATAAGGGACTTGAGCTTTTGGGGGTTTTAGCATCTGCTGGGGGGTCCTGGGAACAATTTCCTATGGATACTGGGGAAAAACTGTTCCAAAATTTTGCAACATAAAACAGCACACATTTATTATCTCACTATTTTTGAGTGTCTGGAATTTGGCTGGGATGTTCTGGTTTAGGATCTCTCCCTGGGGCTGCAGGATCTGGTCCCAAGAAGTTTCACCCATACAACTTTTGCAGAAGGCCTCAGTCAGTCCTTTGCTGTTTTTTCATAAGAGGCAATAGTTTCTTGCTGTGTATTCACCTCCATGGAGCTGCTTGAATGTCTTAGAAGTATGGCAGATTGCTTCTAGGAGTCCAAGTGATCTAAAAAAGAGATGAAAAAATAATAATTAAAAAAATAAAAAGGCAAAGTCAAAATCCTTCCTATAAAAGGCTGGCTACATTAACTTAAATTTGTATGCTTGGGTTCATAGTGGTACATAGTGGTGCACTTTGTAGGTTTTTATAATGATAAAACAGAACTTAGGCTTGTGAAGTTTTCTTCTCATTTAGAGGGAGACAGTATTATTTGTAAATGACCTACTTTTCAGTTATTTCTGAAACAGTTGAATTACTGGTGTACAAAATGGTTCAGAAATAGGAGAAAAGACTATGAATGTGAGTTATTTATAGTAGAGGGGGGTCTTTCACAAACCCTTAAGTGTGTAACCATTCTTTTGGTGATTCTAATATTACATACTGCATAAGCCAGAGCTGGCCATGATGATTAACAATGATGTCAATGATAGCAGCTAACATTTATTGGGTATAGTAGTTCCCCTTATCCATAGGGGATATGTTCATGTTCCACGATCCCCAGTGGGTGCCTGAAACCACCATTAGTACCCAACCCTGTATATAATACCTTTTTTCCTATATGCCCTGGAGCTTTGCATACTGTACAGAGTTAATGTGCTCTCTCATGTTTAAGCCCTCCTGCTTCCTTTACATTACTTGAGCTTTGGGGCTACTATTAAGTAAAATAAAAGTTACTTGCATGTGAGCATTGTGATCCTATGTTGGCCCACTGATAACTCAGTGACCAAGTGACTAACCAGTGAGAAGCATATATTGTGTGGATGTGGGATGTGCTGGACAAAGGGCTGATTCAGGTCCCAGGCAGGATGGGAAGCAGTGGGATAGTGGGAGGTTTCATCATGCTACCCAGAACAGTGCAGTTAACTTATGAGTTGTTTCTGAAATTTTCCACTTAATATTTTCAGACCACATTTGACTGTGGGTGACACACTACAAAACTGCTGATATTTTAATTGGTTTCTATTATTTATTTTATATTAGTTTAGTTTTTTGAGACAAGGTCTCACTATGTAGTTCAGGCTGGCCTTGAACTCATGGCCATCCTCCTGCCTCAGCCTCTCAAGTGCTGGGATGACAGGTGTGCACCACTGCACCCTGCCTTAATTGCTTTCTATTATTTTACACTTGTACCTTGTGAGGTAAATGCTGTTATTTTATGTCATTATAGAGATGTGGATAAAAGAAGCAAAAGGGGTTAAGTAACTTGTGCAAAGTCCCATCTCTAGTCAAAGGCAGACCTGGCCTTCACACCAATCTCCAAGCATGTTTTGCTTCGGATACGGCAAGCATTCAGTACTGCTTTTAAATACTGTCACAGGAGTGACTCAGTATGGATAGCCACTGAGTAAAGAAAGAATAGTGTCTATTTTTATATACATGTGTTCAACTTAGAGAATGTTCTTTTGAATTTTTTGGGGGGGTCTTTTGATTTTTATTTTCCTAATTCTGTCAGATTTCTCTCTTACAAGCAGTTTGTTCAGAATAAGGAAATGCATGCAAGGACAGTGTGGTGGTTAAAGTGTAGGCTCAGGAGTCAGAGAGCCTCTTTTTCAAATCTAGTACCATGCTAATTAGGGTTGGAGCTGTTGTTTAGGGTTACAACAGTGGGAAATTGTCTTCCCTTCA